TGTCTACCCCTTTTTAATAAACAGGATGTCTGAGAGTGAGAGCACAAAGAGCAGCGCTTGAATAGTGTGAATGTCTTTTATTAGCACTTGGTTTGTTGAACTCTTAATAAAGATCTACATCAAGTTCTTTAAATAAAAATTGGCATATGAGGTCAAGAGCTTTTAGCCTGTATATTTCCAACATAACAATATTAAATAAATACTAATATACAGTATAGACAGATATACTAATATAACAGAAATTACGTTAGCACAACCCCAAATTCATTCAAATTGTATTGAGGACTGTCAGTACTATTTTCAATAAACCGAATAAAAAAAATCCTGTTTAATGGCATTCTCTCATCTTGAAAGTTCAGTATTTGAGACAATGCCTTTAATGCCTCGTGACAGATTGTATGATGCTTGCTGGGCATGACACATGTCAGTCTGTCTGTATGAACTGTATGGATTTAGCAGTTATTCCAGCCCAGCGGCGGGACGAAGCACACCCAGCCATGCAGCTGCCCTGCATGCCAATCAAAGCTTTAGCAGAGGATTAATGGGAAGAGCCAGGGATGACTGTGCTCTTCAGTCAACAGAACAGACAGCATACTTTATCTGGGTATCATAAGAACCTATTAAAAGGTTAAATGTAGTTATGAAGCAAAATTGTCTCAGATAATCCTGTTAATAATTTAAGCCTTTTAAACATAAAAAAGCAACATAAAAAGTGATCAACAGTGGAGAATTTACTATGAAAACAGGCCAGGTATAGTAGATCTATAACCGTGCTTATGCAAATTTGCATGCACTGATTATAAAAGGTTTACAGGCCAAGAATATGATACAAGAATAAAAGTGAAATTAATTTGTTATGTGTTTGTAATTGGTATTTTATGAGCATTAGAATGTGTGATGGGTCGTTTCATATACTGTGTAACTCCGGGATGTTTTAAAGGTACTATTGTGTGGCTATTTAAAGCATAAGGGCAGCTGATAAACTGCAGACATGATTCATTCTATGAGAATGATACAGTGACTCCAGCCATTCCCAAGAGCCCATTTTAAATGTGTCATATCTTAAGAGTCGGTGAACGCCTGGGACATCAGTAAGTAATATTTGTGTATTGTATTTTTTAGCAAATCCTGATAGTTTCAGTTTACACAATGAAATAGCGATTATTGTAAAGATTCATTATATGGCTCGCTTTTATATATTCTCAGACTGATCTCATGAAATGGCGTATGTATGACACGCCAATTCGTATTTCCATTTTTGGCGTGCTATCAACACGCATAATCGCTTTTCAGCGTGTTTATCAACGCCTTTGACTTAACGTTATATTACTGTATTATGCATATATAAATATATGACCTACCCCAACCCCGTCCCTAAACCTACCCGTCACTGGGGTTAATACCATTTATGAGTCTTCTCCTACCATCCTAGGAAAAGAAATATCGCTCCACAGATGTAGATATAGATTTTGCTTCGTTTCGCTCGGACATTTAACGGCGTAGACATACACGCGGAATCACTCGGACATTTAATGGCGTAGACATACACGCAAAAGATTTCGGCGTGGACATACACGCGGATATTTCAAAATGCGTATCAACACGCCACTTGAATTGAAAGTGGCGTGTATGTTTACGCAAAGTCATGATGTCATGTTGATATTCTGGTGTAACCCAAAAGAACATGACATGCAGTAAAATATGATACATTCATTTGAATGATTAAATGAAGTATATACATTCTTACTGTATAAAAAAAAACACAGGGATGAGCATCTATATGTGCATAAGGGGCATAAGGCTTATAAGAGTGTACATATCATGAACAATGTCTTTGAGAGAGTATCTCAAAAGGCTGTGTAGACCATCTAAATAAATAAGGATTCACAGATTTATAAACTCCATTAATAATGGTCTGACAACAGCAGCTTGACAATACACAAGCTGTTAACGATATGAAGTGTAAATCTTTCATATAATGCACTGTATTCAGTATTAATAGGCATAATCTTTTTTTTCTTTTTTTTGTGAACAATTGTTTTTATTGAGCATTCAGTTCAATATAAGAAAAATATACAACATATTAAAGTGTAACCCATACCCCCACCCACCCAACCAACCACCAACTACCTAAACTGTGTAAGGAATTGTTGTGAAAAAGGTGAAAAAAAAAAAAATGTAAATAGGCATAGTCTTTTTATGTTTACTTACCAACCATAAATTTGAAATATCATCTAAATAATTATCCATTGACAAGAAAACATTTCTGTGTTGCCCTCTGGCCCATCATTCAAGCATCAATAATAGTAATAATAACTCTTTAATAATAATAAAAGATTATAAACTTCAAATTTGACTTGAATCCTGTGAAACCTCAATTCAAGAACCAGAGGGAGTCATTGCATAAGATACCGTGATCGAGTAAGCTCATCGGTTGAAGAGAGAGGGTTTTTAAACTCCTTTAAAGCGCCTCCTTCTGGTAAACAGTTCTATCCAATGAGCACAAGCTGAAAACTAGTAGCAAATAGTTATACAAAACATACACATGTATATAAAAAATATAAAAAATTGTGTGTGTGTGTGTGTGTGTGTGTGTGTGTAAATATGTTTTTGAAAATGTAAAAAATTCAGAAAGTTTTCTGTGAGGGTTGTGTTTAGGGGGTATAATACAGTTTGAGTATATCCTCCTGGGACCCAAGAATAGACTTTTGTCCACTGTAGTGGACATTATATTTTAGTGAATTTCTCTGACATCATACATGTCACATGACACAACCTGGGTGTCCTGTAAAGAGCACATTCAGGACTTTTCAGAGATACCAAATGTTTGGAGGTAGCACCATGAAAACAACTTCTCCTTGGTCTTTAAAAATGTCTGACATTAATTTAGTGATCAAATGTAGCAATATGATAAATATGATAATATATTGTAATTATAATTTAAATTGGACTACTTTTTCAAATTGTATTTCATAAAACAACATCTCAGGAAAATGTTAAGGGGTTTCAAATAAAAAAATTACTTTGTTACAGAACAGGGCATTGATTTCAAACGTGTCCACTGTAGAGGACATCAGGACTAAAATCATGTTTATCAGGCATTCTGGGAGACACAACAAGTGAATATGGAAATAAATTATACATCAATATTCCTATGAAATATTAGATAATATTATTAAAATGTTGCCAATTATTACTCCAATTATTACACTTCTTTTTTCATTAAATGTTGCTCCAAGAACACATTAATGTGCAAATTAGATACAGTGTATAGATACATTGCATTGAATGGGAATATTAATTTATGACCATTTTACCCACATATTGCAAAAAGTAAAATGGTGTATCAATTTATTCCATTATTTATTTCATAACATAGTTGAGAATAATCTTTATACAAATTTTGGTTGAAAAAATCCTGAAACCCCAAAATGTATTGGTGATTGAAAAAAAATTTGTTTTTGCCTATACATATAATTTCATGTCATTTTATTTTTTAAACAACTTAGTCCTGGTGTCCACTACAGAGGACATAGCATAACGTATGAATAAAATATTATTTTATATATATGTTTTTTTGCCATTTGTTTATTGTGCTCTAAACAGTGTGATGACATGGTAAAAAAACTAAATTCAAAAAACTTTTTTTTTCTGGGTCTCAGGAGGATAAACATCATGTTTATGGAAAGTCCATTAGACATGGAAATCCAATGAGTGTGTTCTTGTATGATTCATAAGGACACAAATTTGTATAATGACATGGGTATTACACTGGTATTACAACATAAATGTGGTTTATGGGGACATTTCCTGAGTCCTCGTAATTAAAATGGCTTAAAAAACATAACATGTTTTATTAAAATGTAAAAATGCAGAAGAAAGTGTTCTGTGATGGGTAGTTTTAGGGGTTCGAGTAGGCGTAGGGGGATAGAATATACAGTTTGTACAGTATAAAAACCCTTACACCTATGGAATGTCCTCATAATGATAGATTTGTCGCCGTGTGTGCATGTGTTCGTGTGTGTGTGTGGTTATTGATATCTGTATGATGTGATGAAACATTCTTGGCTTGAATATAGACTTTATTCAGGGTAGCACATATTTAATTTTTGACAGGAATGAAAATGAGGTTATGACGGATAAACAGTTTGTTAAATGGATTGTTATTTAACAGCATGCCCATTGTTCAGCTGATGAAACATCTTTAGAAAAAATGAAGTTCACAGAAACTCCATTAAACAGTTTCTTTGTGATCTAGGACCTATCCCTCACAACCTTGTTTTCATTTGTGTAAAATTCAATATGGCATCTACCCATAAGGTCTATCGCTTGCTTTCCTTCTAATAGAAGGTTCCATTCACAATCTTCATCTAAACATGATCTAAAACTACTGTATAATCATAAAATCCTTTATATTGTGGAAATATGGACGTCTTAAATTTTAACGTCTTGTGGTCTTAAATTTCCCAAGAAGAACAGTAGGAGAGGAATACATTTATTTACAGGAATAGTTCACCAGTGTGTACACTACATACTGCATGCTCTTAAAACACATACCAAACACACATTTTTCTTAATATGGAGCTAATTCAAGAAAGCCGGGAGAGAGAGCAGACGGGTGTTTGAAAGAGCCAGAGAAGATAATGCAGCTGGTGCAGACAGTGGAGGCCATAAAGGGACTCAGTGATTGACAGAGACAGACAGCACCAACAGCTGAATCTAAGAATGGAGAAAGCAGCAGAGAGGGATGAAGAAACAGTACGAAGGTTAGAGCTAAATATGGATGAGATGAAAAGCACCCCAGTAACTGTACATAGCATTTACTGACATTCATACAGCAGTGAACCACTGACATTTTAAGAGCACTACTTTAAACTCATCCACCGAAAAAGAGCACTAGAATGTGTTACCGAGATGTTTAAGGTTTAGATTCACATTTGCTGTTGTGAACACTTATTCACATTTGTCATTTTTGTCGAGTTTTTTGAGCAACAATCATTTGGTCCACTAACGACAATACAGTTACAGAGCATTTTCACACAGAACTGTCTAACTGCAACATGACACCCGCCAACACGACCGTACAGAAGGCGACAACATTTCTTTTTCTGTTCTGAGGGGGTGGGGAGTGAGTGGGCCATGTGAAAGGTGCAAGAGACCCTCTTAGAGCAGTTGTGCTGCTAGAGAAATGAAAGAGACCAACGGATTCAAAGAACTTGGAAATCAGGAATAAACTGGATTTTCTTTCTCTTGGATGCAAGGCGTAAACGGGAGTTGTTGGCTGCAAGCACATAAAGGGGAGTGCTCCCAGATTTCCAGAAAGATAAAGATCAGAAGAGAGACAGGCCTTGAAAATCACCTGAAGGTTAGAGGACACCAAGTATAAGAAGAGGAAACTAATAAAGTAGCACATGCCATTTTTATACCTGGTTTAAATGCATCAATATATGTGAGAAAAGTGATTCCAGTGAATGAGAACATCCTATTGCAAACAGTCAATTGGAAAAGACATTCGATTTTATCATTAGACATGCTTACTGTTTGATAACGTACATAAATTCATTGTGTATTTTACAACTCTGACACAATGCAGCTGTCACTGAGGAAGTTTTTGTAGGATTCTGAGAGAAACTGGACTCTAACAACAACCAATCCATATTGACTGTAATTTGCTGGTGTGGTTAAGGAAAAATACAGATGTTTCTTAACTCTATCCTTGTGGTCATTACTGACCTGGCAGCTGGACTTCTCGGCAACGCATCTTTTCGACGTCATTTTCATTTGTTGCTTACAGCATTGCTTTTGTTTGGGCCCCTCCTGAGTCTATGGGTTTCCCATTATAGTGTGTTTGCAAAGAGGACTCACTTTCTCTACAGGTAAGCAGCACAAACACAAATATACATTCTATAATTCAATTAAGCAATACCACACTAGCAAGCACGCTCTGCGGCCTCATGCCAATCACAACAGCATGATAGCGCGCGTGACATTTGTTCAATAAACAAGACGTTAATATTGAGTAACTTACATTTTTGAACCTATATTGCCTATACTTTTTGTCTATTTTTGCTCTGCACGTGAAAATACTCCCAAAAGAATTGAAAGAAAAATCAAACCATCGCGTTGTGCAAAGCACAATAATAACTTTTCTGAACTGTTTTTAATGAATCAGTTGAGTGAATGATTCAATGACTCACTCATAAAGACAGCTAAATCAGAATATGCATGTTTCCCTACAGTATGAGTAGATACTTATTTTACTAGTAACTTTGCTACCTTTAAAAAGTGTTCTATATAGCATGAATCAGAAGAAGACTGTGCTCAATATTAATAGAGTAATATGTCATTCACCATTCATTTGTAGGGTTTTCCTGCGCTCAGGCTGGGGCTGGACCTGCATCTTTGTTGGCTCTTTTGTCTTTGTCCTCTCTTTCTCAGTTCGTCGCTCACTCACACTTTCCCTGCGACACCTTTCTCGGCTAGCTGTGGCAGGTGGATTGTGGCTGGGCTTCCGCAAACTGCTTTGTCTATTGGAGAATGCCACCGGGAGCTGTTATGAACCCCTCAGCTCCAGTCTTGAGCTGGCTTCAGGGACCAATGGAGATGGCCAACCTTTATTGCTTTTACGGGAAGGTGAAACAAAGGAGGCCTGTGTCCGCTCTGGCATGTTGTGGCGTGGCTATGAAGTATCTGAAGATGCCCTCCTGCTGTGTTTGTGCTGCCTGCTTCTAGCTGAAGAGACTGCAGTATTTGGGCCGTACCTTTGCCTGGGTGGACCCTCTGAAGCCCCGCTGCGCATCCTCTTCCTGTTCTGTGTCCTTCTGTTGAGTCTCTGGGTGTTCCTGCTGCTCTGTCTGTTGGCTTACTTCCCAGAGTTTCCTACTCAGCTTCTGGGAGGCGCTCTGGGTTGTTTAAGCTGGAGAGCATTGTATCAGGGCTGGTACCGACTTGGACCTAGTTGGTACTGCCCCGGGAGGCCAGGGGTTGGACTTTTGTCAACACAGAGTAAACAGGATGAGACAACTGAGACACTGTGTGAAACTAATGATAAAGACATCAACTAGAGAAGGTTTGAGGAATTAAAGCTTGGCTGAATTTGGACTAATTATATGGTGCTTTATTACACCAGTGAAACCTAAAGAATATACACCCAAATCTGTCAATGCAAAGTTTATGTATATTTGATCAAATTGCTGGTATTTATACATTTCATTCATGCTGATTAAATTCTCACTCAGACCCTGACAATGAAAAAAATGGAATTTCAACATCATAGGTGGGGGTTAAGAGGGTACAGGGATAGTTCGGTCCAAAAATAAAAAGCAATCACTTACTCTGAGTTTCAAACATGTATGATCTTTTTTTCCCCTGATTTCCAATGCGGTTTGAACCTGTGGCCTACAAAATATCTTTTACGTCCAAAGAAAAAAGTTCCAAACACATTTGGAACAACAAGTGCACTATCCCTATTTTTTGCCAATAGTTTTGACCCTAATACAGTACTGATTTCACAGAGAAAATGATTCCAAACAAATGAAGAAACAAACGAGACACCACATTAATTTATTAGGCTCATCCTTGACCATCTCAATTAATTTTTTTATTACAAAAATACTCCAGAATTTCTGAAAATCTCAGCTTTAAATAAAAAAACTTGTGATTCAATTATGCTCAAACTCGTATGTAATTTAAGGACAGCCAGATTCATTTTGGGTCAGTGTGGCATTCATTTTACAGTTGTCTCGCTTTGCAAACATTGCTAAAAATTACCCATCTCTTGAACAAAGCCTTCAAAAACCATCAGTGGTCTCATGACAAGACAATAAGGGATATATTACAAGATATATAAATGCCAATGTAGACCACACAATTTTAGTTTTAGTACCCACAAAGCATGCTTCAAATTTCTATAATGGAAAAGTTTAATAAGGCAAGATCAGGAATAGCTCCCGGTTAAAATGACAATGGTATTGAAGTAGATTCTATCCATCTATTTTAAAAAAATCTGTTCAACAAAACCTTAACTACATAACTCTGAAAAGAAGAAAAGGGGTGATGGAGACGTACATAGAAAAACGTCTTGTCTGCTGGGAGGAAGCTCCAAATAAAAAGCTGAAAAGGAGAAAAACATTCTCTGAAAACTTGCTCAGAGCATTATAAAAAGGCATGTTCCTTCACAAAGTATAATAATCCTGGACAGTGGTTGGTACAGTCAGTCAAGAACCATTCATCATAGGAATTTCAGATGTGACACTGTCCAATGGCTGCCAGTGGCAATCCATGAGTGAATCATAGAGCTCCTCACTACGCTCCATGTATTGCTTATTTAATGCATCCACATCCACCTGCAGGTTTGGATCTGAGGGAGAAGAAAGATGGTGAGTAACTCACTGGTGTTCATTCTTGCTATAATCAAAAATTTGGTCAACAACTAATCAGTGGAACTAAATATTACCTTCAGCAGGGTCCTCCTCAACATCCTCAGTGCCATCATGGGACTGCAAAAGCAAAATAGAAATGGTAAATTCTAGAACAGAAACTAAAAAAATGCTTTTCATTGATCTTGTGTTTGCAACTGCTAAGATACCTCTGTGGATCCCTGCATGTCAGTGGGGTTGGGGGGCACCCCCATAGGTGGGGGTACTCCCATCATCCCATGTGGAACTGGTGGGGGGGTAGCATACGGGTTATATCCGTAGTTGTAACCGCTGTACTGATCATAGCCCCACTGTGGATAGTAATTGTTATAGGGCTGTTGATAGTACTGCTGTTGATAGTTGCTGTTGTAGCTGTTATTCTGGTTGTGGTAACTGCTTGATTTGTTGCTGAAATGTAAAAGAGAGAATATAACAAGATTTGTCAGGTGAAAGTTCAAATATCAGGACTAAGTCTCACTGACCACACAAAACTTAATGACAATGAATATACAGTAATAAACATTTGAAGTGGATCAAAAAACTTCATCAAAGTTGTCCTAAGACAAGAACAGGTATTGTTCAAAATTCATGTAGAACTCTGATGAAAGGTTTTGATCCACTTCAAATGTTGACTACTGTACAACAAAATAAAAGAATACTACTTAACTACATATATGCAAAAATGATCCTTTTTTTTTTTAATATTTAATATTTTATTTATTTCTTAAACCCATGAGATAAACATTAATCAAAAATTGTATGAAATATACCCTTTGTTGACGGCAATGCTTATCCTGATGGATTTTCCTCCCAGGCCTGATGCGTTCTGAAACTCCTCAAGGGCTTTCTTCTGTTCATTCTCATCACTAAACTTCACAAAGCCATAACCCCTGTTTGAAAGAACTAGATCATCAGCACCCGTTCTCTCACTCTTCATGCGCCTCATCATGCAGTATATGCATATATCAATATGTATTCAGAAAGTAAAATATTTATTTGATGGTAGAACTGAAACTTCACTTTTACTTTTAACATGAAGTAGCATCACTTCAATTGTGAGTTGCTCTTGCTTACCCTATATGGGGAAAACAATAGTTTTAGCAGATTTGTAACAACGGCAAATCACATCCATGTATTGTCTGGCCCTTTTTAGGAGAGGGAGGGTAAAGAGTATCGACTGAAAATAAGCTTTTAAAAAATATAAAATAAAATGTAAAGGAGACCTCATTCTGTTGTGAAGATCAGTAGGTCGAACTGTCAGAGAAAGCCAAGTAAGGTTATGCAGTACATGTGATGGCTAAAACATTTCATACCTGGAGTTCCCATAGGGATCAGTGACAACTTTGGCTCCTTTGCATGAAGGGAATTTTTTCAGAAAAAACTGATGAAGTTGGTAGTCATCCACTTCTGATGTGAGATCTCCAACAAAGACAGAGAATTCTGGGCTGAGAAAGAAAGTAAACCATATAAAGTAAAAAAAAAAAAAAAAAAAACTCCACAATTTACATTTATTTATGTTTTGTAAAAAAAATTATATTTAACCACAAAAAAGCAACTGGGTCATTCAGTGTTAAACCAAATTTTGGAAACTTCCCCAGCTAAATTTTTTTATTAATATTTTTCTGAAGAAAGGCAAACATTAATAGTGATAATAGCCAAACTATTAAATGTCATGGATGAATATTTACTGAATAACCCACTATATTGTAAAAGGGGGGTCAAAATTAACATTTCCAACTGAAATTTGAAGCCAAAATACACGTGGGGGAGAAAATGACTTTAGTTTTCAGTTCATTCCTATGGAAGTTGAGCTTTACTCTCACGCGTGAGCGCGAAGCTCAACTTCCACAGGAATTAACTGAAAACACTTGCTCTGCGCCAGTGGACACGCACTGTTACACCGAATTTCTTGGCTGACTAATGAGTTGTTTGATGACTCCGCTGCGTATATCAGTCCTGGGGGAACACTCGTTTTACACGTATTTGGCGCTCCCTATTGTTGAGGGTGTATTATTGACATATGAAAGTCTAGACCCTGAATATAAGACGACCCAATTTGTCTTATCTTCAGAACAATACGGTATGTGAAAATGCACCATCCAAACTTAAATGGCTGTAATTCATGAAAGCCTTGGAATACAGACCTACGGATGGTCTCTTTTTAAAGAAGACACAAAGCGGATTATTGCTTAAGTGCAAGCAAAAAAACAGTAAAAAAAAAGTTACGTTTAAATTTACTCTAAAGCAAATGTACTGCACTAAACAATTTTTTTATACAAAATATTTTACTAAATAATTTGGACTGAAAATTCTATAAAATCAAAGCCATGTCTCATTTTGCTTAGGCACTATATCTGACACTATACCTATACATTTCTGTCACAATATCACTTCTATCACAAAACAGTCACCAAATATGGAATCTTGAGTTTCAGACCTTTACAACGATATGCATTTTCCCAAGATTAGAAAAAGTTGTGATTATAAAATAGTGCAGTAAATTTTGTAATATGAAACATGGCACTGCACAATAGGGGGGAGGAGCCCGCTAAAAGGAATTGTACTGTTTTCATGGTAACACAAAGTCTGATTTTAAAATAGTTTTCACAGAATACTGAGGGTGTAATAGGGCTGGGCGATATGGCTGAAAACTGTATCACGATATCAGTGTTTCATATCGGTCGATATCGATAATTATTGATTTTTTTATGACCCATTTAAAATAAGGACCAGGAGAAAAAATATAGTACATTTAAACATTTTTATTTTAAACTTAACCTTCCTCTTATTACAATCCCAAGACAGACATGTCAACACAACCATGGAAAACTTAAATAATTAAAATGTAAACATAAGTCTAAATTCACAATCAGACCTGCAAACTCCTCAGAGTAAAAAAGGTGACAGTGACGCGGCGGGACGGGGGTGAGGCCGGGGGGTTTGTAATCGTACATGCCACCTGCTTAATTTGTTTTGTGATTTTAATATGCAAATGACACATTTCTGAGCGTGACTTAACAAAAATCAGCATACTTATCAAAAATCTTTTTCTGCCAACCAGGAAGTTTGTATCTTACACATGCACTGTATCATAAGAAGTCAGGGCAGAGCACTCGGCTAACGATAAGCCTAACGTTACAGGGATATTCCACCATTTGGGGAATTAAGCTCATTTTCCACCTCCCCTCGAGTAAAACAATTGTTTGTTTACCGTTTAGGAAACCATTCAGCCGATCTCCAGGTCTGGCGGTACCACTTTTACCATAGCTTAATGTAATTCATAGTATGACGACAAAACTAGGGGTGGAACGGTACACAGAAGTCACGGTTCGGTTCAGACATCACGGTTCGGTACGATTTCGGTACAATGGAGTGAAAAGCAAAACAAATATAGAAGGCATTTTTATAAATGTCTTAAGCCTTGTATTTTTTAATTAAGTTTTATTAATAAAGGCATAGAACCAGTTTATTTATAGTGCACTGATAATAGTTTTATATAATTGGTTTATTAATTAAACTAATAAAAAGATAGATATGAGATATGTTTGGTAATTGTACCTGAATGAATTTAAAATTAATTTGCTATATTTCAGATCAATATATTTGTTTTACTTAATTTTAATTAACCCTAACTTTATTCTCATCAGAATTATAAATAATTGATTTCCGTATAAAATAATACAACCAACACATTTAATTTTCTTTTTTAATCAATGTGTTACTTAAAAATAAACAGATTAGCGCTCTGTTTTGAGGACAAGAAATTAAAACCAATGCGATATGATGAATGTCCAAAAGATGGAACACACAGACTGTTTTAAAAAGGGGTTGGATAAATATGTTTTGCTTTTAAAACGGTGTATGACAGTTGTAGGTTACAGTTTGACAAGAAATACAGTGTGACAAAAGCACAATGTTGTGTTTTATTGCGAGTATAGGCCTACACAAACACTAAACACTTTGCAGACTGAATGATGTCCTGTATTAACAGAATGACGGAATGATGTCCTGTATTAACAAAATGACGGAGTATGTTTTTATGTCTCCACTGTCTCTCTCTCTCGTGCCTCTCTCTCTCGCGCCCGTGCCTACTCTCTCTCCCGCGCGCGCGCGCGCACACACACACACACACACACACACTCCAGCATTGCAATCTTGACATCGCGCAGCCTGTTCATTATGCTGTGTTCACATCAAACGCGAATAGAGCGAATTATCCAATAATGTTTCGCAATTCTAGCCTACATGGCATGCAGATGAAGCGCACTCATTTTCTGCTTATCAATCGCCGGTTACTGAAGAGGAACCCAGCAGCACGAGACAACGATATAGAGAGCCTAAGTCCCTCCCCTTCCGGTCGACCACCATGGGACCTTATTTCGGAATTGAATTGTGCCCTGAATTACACATATGATGTTTGTCAATTTAAAAGATACATTTTAAAGTCAAGAAAGTCGCAGTTTGATGTAAAACTGTTGAGGTATAAGACTGTGAAAATACGTAATTACAAAGACTACAAACCCCAAAGGCGCACATTTTCTCTCAATGAATGAAGCTAACTTTACTGAAGATTTACTGAGACTGTTTGACCGTTATAATCGTAACGTTACGCCGTCATGCCTGAGTGTTTTGTACCAGACTGCACACATACGAGCAACGGATCTTGCTCGTTGTTTCGCTTCCCAGGAGATGTAGTTCATTGGGCGATTTCCACATAAAACTGTTACTCGTCTGTTTTATGACAAACTGCGACTTTCTTGACTTTCATAATTATCTTTTAAATTGACAAACATCATATGTGTAATTCAGGGCACAGTTCAGACGGAATAAAAAGATAAGTTGTCTCTCGCTATTGACTACCATACATATTTTTTCCGAAATAAGGTCCCATGAGCCGGAAGCGGAGGGGAGGGACTTAGGCTCTCTATGGCGCAACCAAACTGACACGTTACATGATTGCCTGTTAGCTTGTCACTCCCTACGTTGCTAGGTTACCAGAGAGCGAGTGCCTTTGTTAATGCAACCAAACTTGCTTCGCAACCTTTGGTTTCTTCCGACGAAGAAAAAAATATCGAACGTTTTATCGAACACATTTTTTATTGATATCGATCACGTGTCTATCGCGATACATATCGTTATCGTTTTATCGCTCAGCCCTAGGGTGTAAGCTTTTGATAGATACCTAATTTGATGATTAATAAAAATATGTGATGGTAAACAAAGACAATAAATAAGCACCAAGCGTCCCACTACCAGGGCACTGACAGTAAGGCCATATGGTTCAATCCCAGAGATTCAGGGATTTCAATGTGGCTCCATGAGTAAATTGTTAAATTGTACACATTTGCAGTGGTCAAAACCCAAATATGGGTCACTTTGCATAAAATGTATACTTTTTTCTTTTTAAGTGGAATGTCTGAAGAATAAATTAAGTTGAAACTACAAACGCATCTCGTTTCCTTCTATCAAAACAACTGCATAGAACAGTGGTTCCCAACCTTTTCCAACTCGCAGACCACGGAAACAAACACGCAAGTTTTTGGTTGAATTTTAACAGACCTGATTATTTGTGTCGCGTTAATGAGGACTTAGAAACGGAGATTGTTAACAGAGACTTAATGGAATAAACTGGCAATGAACAAAAATGAAGATAATGGGTTACCGAGCCCAGGCCCCATTCCAGAATGAAATCGGGTTCTCTGGCTGTAATGCACATACATCAGACTTTTGTCCTGTCCACTGCTATGGTCACTAAATCAGTTAATGAGCCTACATCAGATTCAGGGGTGTCATCACCCTGATGAAGGCTATTTTTAAACTGATTTTATTTGCCTAAACCATGACTAAATAAAGGCTTTTTATACATTTAGTTAAATTCTTGAGTGCCTTGGCTTGATACGTTTTTACAGTATTTTCTTCATTTAGCTTTATTTTTGTCTTTTTGATGTCAGGCATTGCTAAAGATTTATCCTTACTTGTAGATGAAGAAAGATCTGCATTTATCCTTTTCAGCGACCCTGTTGATAACCATTTATCCATGTTTAAATCTGTTGTAGCACACAGTTACTGTATGCAGCAAAAGTATGGTAGATAAATTGGTGGCTTATTCTTAACATAACCGAACAGCAAGCTTAAATAGTGAATACACAGTAACAGTTTAATTTTTTTTCATTATATATTGAATAATTATATTAAATTAGACTTTTACATAAATTAACAAAATTATTATTTTTAGTAAAAGTAGGCTAAATGGCATTTAGCCTATTGTTATTATTGTTATTTTCAAACTTTTCAATGTTTTCTTATTATAAAAAGAACTTAACATGTATTTGGTTCTAACAAGTAACCTTTTGCTAAGGAAACCCCAGAACTCTGAAACCGGAATGAAAAAATACAGTTTTTGCTCAATACTAACTGAAATGAAAAATAATGAATTTATAATTCCTGCACACAAGAGACTTGGTATTGTTTCCAAACAAAGGAAAACGGATATGTATATTGGTATTGGCCAAAATGAGTTGAAAAATATCAGCATATCGGATGTAGGCAAAAAAAAACAATATTGTGCATTCCTAATAACTTCATAACCCCCAACCACCAGTCTTTCTTCAGAAAAAAATATTAACAAAATTTAAATTGAGCCAGGCACTTCTAGTTGAGCTGTCACAGAATGAACCAACTGATTTCTGTTTGGTTTCTCAAAAAGAGATCAGAAACCAAAATGTTATTATGGACATTGTGTGCTTACCCAGGCTCTGGCCTTTTCCCATATGTTGCATAGTTTAGCTTGAACTTCCTGGGCTGAAAAGAAAAGAAATACAACCATTGAGCAAATGGAATGACACTTTGCCTGTAGTATGGACATAATTCGCTAACAAAGTGTCTTATTATTTGAGTAAGGAAGCTATTATTTCCACATACCTCCACCAATCAGTACTGGCTTTATCCCATTCGTCAGCTAGTTCCTAACAGAGTTTATTCACCAGCTTCAAACAAAGTCATTTTATAAACAGCCTCAACCACCTTCCTTAGGGAAGAAATTGAGCTCTGTAACTTGCCCATCACTAGTAATGTATAGAGTAATAACTGAAATGTCTCATATGAGGTGGGGGCCATGCTGGATATGCCTTCCTATAATAATCTAAATATATGAATGTATTGAATTCAAATATACATTAAATTGTATAGATGAACTATACAATTTAATGGATGCAAGTTTGGCGTCTCACCGGATTTGATCCTGGAACCAGCTTCCCATTAAGCCTCTGCACACAACGATCAACGCTGGCCTCATCTGCCATCTCCACAAAACAGTATCCAGCCGAGCCTCTGAGGAAACACAGAACAGTTATTTGAAAATTGGACAAAAGGTATATAAGACTGTGTACCCTTTGCCTTGAATGAGGAAAAGAACTACAATCCCAGGCATGGCAAAATACAAAATAATGACCGGAAATATAAAAATAGTGATATATAGATGTTTATTATATATAGACTAACAACATTTTACACTTTTTTAAACTATGTATATTCAGCTTGATAATGTAGGGAAACTGACTGTCATTTGCATTGCTTAATGATAGTGAGCAGTGCTAAAAATTGGTGTGATTTGCTTGCCATGATTCTGATTAGTGGAGATTTTTCTGCTGAATCATGGGTAATGTGATTTTTCACCAGGAAGTCTACTGTTAAACAATTATTTAAAAGAATTAATTGAAATGATGCAGGCTGCTCATAGTAGGTCTATCAGTAGGCTTGGATTTGGGTTGCCAAATGTCAGTTTCATTGGTGCCAACTAGTGATGCACCGATGTGAAAATTGTGGCCGATACCGATATTTACCTATGTCGATATCTCTGTATAGAAAACACATTTTTATGATAATCAAATAAAGAGCTATTTTCCAAAACACTTTTTTTAAAAGTCTATATCGATTAGCGTTACATTATAAACAATCAATCAAATATTGCAATCATGTTTATTGTCTTCAAAACATCTTTATCTGCATGTTACAGCGATCTCTGAAAGCTTTGTTTATGTCAGGGACTTCCTGGAATGTCACATGATTATGGCACTTCTTCATGTGTTCCATATATGGACTATACTGTTCATAGGGCGCCCTCAGGCTGCTGGTATGGATTGAAAACACAGTACATCAGAGTATCCAGCGCTCATAATGATTACATCGACGCATTTGGGTATAAATTTAGTAAATATTACTCCTGTCTATAGAAATCTGATGTAAACCTATGAGAATCTATCAATATTTCTCCAAATCTGCACATTTTTGAGCTAAAAGCCCTGAGGGACGTTGTTTTGTCAAGCGCTGTCATGACGACAGCACAGGAGTTTTTTTCTGAATGGGAGCGGCTGACGCTCATAAGTAATATTAAAGGTATCGACTAATTTTTTCATTACATAACTCCTGACACAAATTAAGACATAACTGTCACTATAAGTTTCTCAGAATACAATAGTGGTCAAATACTGAAACTTGAGTCTTATATCTTTTTAATGATGTATAGTTTGTCAAGGTAATAACATTAAATCTGATAGTAACTTTGAACTACTTCCACTACTGAAAACGGTTGGTCATCAACAGCGATCATCTTTGTTATTGCCATGGTCAATGTCTTTTGCTTCGGGTGGTCCTTGTGGAATTTCTTGGTCTTTTCCATCGCTTGTTCTATGGGGCTACCGACTGGTGCAGCTGCCGTAGCTTTCTTCCGCTGCTTGTTAGTATTAGCTAGTTTTTCAAATTCTTTGTAGGCTTCGGGATGCTTGTTTTTTAAGTGGGTGATCAAATTGGTTGTATTGAACGATTTGACACGAACTCCCCCTCGCATCACCCGGCCCTCACAATCATTGCATCCAGCATAGCGAGAGGATCCTCTTCAGACACTTTGAAGAACGACCAGACAGACGACATCGTTGCTCCCTCACCAAAGGCAAAGTTAAACTGACTTTGACTTTTTTTTGCCGCCTCCAGCACCTGCTTCAGCACATTATGTGACGTGTAATGTATGCGCTCGTGCAAAAACAAACATCCCCGCCCCCACACTCACATCTACACACACGTCAAATACACAGGAATGATTATCGGCCTGTTCACATCGGCCCTATTTTTACATCGGAACGATACCGATGTGTAAAAAATGTACCATATCAGCCGATATTATATCGGCGGCCGATATATCGTGCACCACTAGTGCAAAACTGCAAATCTTAGGCTGTGGACAATGTGAAACATATATTGTTCTCAAATGAGTCCACCTCCACAATCTTTCCCACAAGTGGAGAAGCCCCGAAGAGGCCTAACACCTGGACTGTTGCTGCCCAGAGTGAAGCACATGGTGGATCGGTGATGGTTTGGGCATCAGTATCATGGCATTCCCTACTGTGCTTGATGGGTACTGCCAAAGGACTAACCCAACCATTCTGTAGGACCATGTGCACCTAATGATTAAAAGAATTGTACCCTGGAGGGGATGTATCAGCGTAATGCACCAATTCACACAGCAAGACATGTTGTGACAGAATAGTTTGATGAATATGAAAGTGAAGTTGAACATCTCCTATGGCCAGCACTGTCACCAGATCAACAAACATTTTCCTCCACCAGCATCACATAGTGACCTGGCCAATGTTCTGGAAGAGGATTGGCTCAAAATCCCTCTGGCCACTGTGAAGGACTACACCATACTAATAAATTATTGTGGTGGTCTAAAACCAGGTGTTACAGTTTCATTGTCTAACCCGTGTAAATTGACGTAAAAAATCCCTTCGGAGAAAATGATTGGGCTTTTTTACTTCTGGAACAGACTGTTGCACTATTTAGAGAAGACATGTAATCTTACCCGGTAACTCGATGTGTAATAATTTTGACACCGTAGGCAGTCTCTCCCATTGTGCTGAAAGCTTGCTTAATGAAGTTTTCATCCATGTATGGGTCTAACTGAAAAACAAATAATAAAATGAATGGCCTAAGTTCCAGCAGATCTATGTCAGCATAGTTTACATAAAACGTTAATAATTTACAGGAGAAAACAACAAACGTCTGCGTCACGTGTCTGTTTACAGCGCAATCACCGGCGATATAAAACTTTAACGATCGTTTAGTTGGTAAGTTAACTAGAAATCATATACCGGACATGCAGTTTGTCTCAATATTTACACTAACCGTTACGACACAAAAACACTTGTACAAATATGAGGAAGTTCTCGAGAATAAACACGAGGAAACAAACTACGGATTAATTAGCACTATGTTTACATAATACGATATAATACTATGTTAATTCGATTATTTCTCTAGTGACTTGTTCTGTTTAGTATTTACTTGTTCTGGCCTGTTGGTTGTGCTTGCGTAACGTCGAGCTAAACCACATGCCGCTGGTTTCTAACCTACATACATACTCGCTGAATTATCTAAGAAAAGTAACGCAAGCAAAAACACAATACTTACATCACCCATCCATAAGCTTGTCATTCTGTTAAACATCTTGGCGGCTAAAAGTGTTGCACCTCAGAGGTTTGTGAAATTAAACGACTGTTGGCTGCCGAATTTGCCTGTTGGTTCGTGAAGCTAGCAGAACGTCGTTTACTGAAGACATACTTCCGCTTCCGGCCGCGCAGCTCGATCACTCCCAGTCCCTCCTGGAGACAAGTCTGTCTGTCTATTTGGTTCACTCATGGTTCAGCACACTGAGCTGTACTATCTCTGGAAATAATTCATGCATGGTTTCCCTTCCAACAGCTACTGTTTTTTTATACTAAAATTAAGTAAATATTACTAGTGGTGTGCATCTGCGCATATGCTACTCCGAGTTTGACTTCAAGGGGCAGTAGTGAGTTTTGAAAACTCCTTCCAGTCTTCCAGCAGAGGAAGAGATGCAAAGCACGTGATGACTTTGGTATGATATTGATGGAAGGAAGCTGTAGCCGAAATGAACACGTTACGAACAGCATTTTTGCGCTTTTCGGGGGCACAGAGTTTGCGTTGGTATGTGGCACCACTCATTTCTTTAAAAAACAAGTTGTGGTAAATTAGTTTGCTGAACGTTCAGTTATTTGTGAGTTTAACCACCAGCTGTAGCGATAACCTCACTTTGCCACACATGCGACAATGTTATTAATCTAATTAGAATATATTGCAAAACTAGATTAAATATAAATTGCACTAAAACATAGTGTAAAACATTAAAAGAGTGCAATGATATTTTTATAGTGCATATATGCTGTATGAAATCTCTTTCTTTTTAAGAGCGACAACATGTTTATATTCATATTACCTTTCATTTTTCATTAGTCATTCTAGTCTGACCACTGTACAAGTCATCTGTACATTGTCACTCTGCCATTCAGTTTTGAGGCACACTGGGTTGCAGTCTTCAGGGCTCCTCTACAGTGCATGCATGGATGTGTAAAATTTTACATTACATTATGTTCTAATTCTATTACAGGAGTAATGGCAGTCACCCTACCATATTCAGCTGCACTCAACTACGCTCTATCGGTTCCTTGGTTCTGTCCAGGGCAGGGGGCGAGCAGAAAACTTTCCTGCAAGGAAACCTGGACATCAAAGCAGATGGAGCCAGTGTTTTCCAGCAACCACTCTGGCACCATCAACAAGTCCGCACAGTCAAGCGTGGGACAGAATATCAACCAAAGAACATCAAACGAAAGAGGACCCATGGCTGGATCAAAAGAATTAGCGCTCCAGGTGGAATCGAAGTAATCCTGCGCCGAATGCTCAAAGGACGAAAATCCCTGACACATTGAGACTCTGACCGGACAGTTGCTTTGATACACCTTTGAAGTGAATCTCAGTTGAATGTCGGCTGTGCAGTAGAGCATTTGGGGTTCTATAAAATAGTTGTCAATTTAAAGAAATTAATGCATCATTGTGTTTTTTTATTTTATTTAATGGATCTCATCCTTCTTTGTACTTCCAGTTTAGTATTTCTTTTCATGTCAAAGGATCCGCTGTATGTAGTGTTAGTCAGATCAGAGCATTTACTCTTTGTTTCACAAATGACATCAGCTCACGTTGAAGTATTCAAGTTAGGACAAGTTTAAAATCACAATAATCATATTCAAATAAAAACTACATTTGTCATGATGTATGGTATCATATTTTATTTAAGCATTTGATGTGCATTTACTTAGTATTACGATGATAGTACAAACGTTTAAAAAAACAGGGCTCTGAAGTAACGGTGTATATTGTGTCTGATATACTGTTTAAATGTATTTTCACAGTAATTCCATTTTATTGCATTAGGAGTTCACACTCATAAGATCAAAATAAGCAAGGATAATACAATATTTTTAGATTGTCATATTTACTGTTTCATATAAGAAAAATAATAATGCGTAGAAAAATAGAAAATCTTTTTAAAATGTTTATGATTACAGTGCTCATTCAAACGTCCTTTCTTGCTTGCCCATGCCTAAACAGATTTTATCATGCAGGTGTTTTAGCATGCCGCCTTCAGTGAGTAAACAACATGGAGAACTCAGATTAATATATTGTATTAAAATGATCTTTGACATGCAGTTCCAATCACCACATGGTTGCTTTATGATATTTAAGCAAATGTTAAGCATCACAATCAGTGCTATATATTAACTTGAGTTGTATAACCATTTCATTCACTGTTTTTTTGAAAGATTATTACCAAAGTCTGAGCTCTCACTCTTTTCAACCTCGGATGAAAGCTCTTTTGATGAGGGATTTTGGTCATTTGTGTGTTGTGCATTAGTGGCCCTTGAGGCATCTTCTGGTTTCACTTGCTGTTCAGAACCAGCACCAGAACATGGATTTTCTTTTCCAAAGTTGAAGAGTTTGCCTGGGTTGAAGGACTTGCTGGGAGACTGTGATTTCTCATGGCTCCCATGTGTAGCTGCTGGTGCAACTGCTGCAGCGGCTTCCTTTTTTATCTCTTGAGACTTGAGGAACTTCAGAAAACCTGGAAGTTTGGCCTCACCACTTGTGGGAGAAGTGGTAGAGGTGAATTTACCCTGGAGTGGGATTATCTGTTTGAGTTTCATTACGTTATTGTTGCCTAAAAGGGAGCTGGGTCTCTTGAGTTTATCTCCTCCGGAGCTGAACTTGGCCCCTGGGCTTTTTTCATGGTGATGGTCCTCACCCCCTCTGAGATCAGACTTGTCTTGCTCACTGCCTTGTCGTGCCAATTCCTCTGCCAGTTTTTGATGTTCCTCTTCTTCTTCAGACTTCCTCCGTTGCTGCTGTTGGTGTTGCTGAGCGAGGCGTTCATGTTTCTGATGCACAAACAACACATTGTCAAAAGACAACCACCACAAGCCCTTTCGACTCACCAAACCGAGAAATTACATTTATTAGCCATATCATGATAATAATTAATGACTTATCAGTATCAGCTAAAAAATGTTTATCTATACATAAAAAATATTTGGTTATTGTTTATGCTCATCATGTGCTGTGCTACCTTGAGTGCTTCTCTCCGCTGGTATTCAAGTTTGGCCATCTCATCTGCCACCCAATTTGGAATATCAGGAATTGCAACATGAATAACATATTTGAGCAGAATGGCAAAGTGCTGAAAATCATATAAGAAAGAGTTACATTCAATTTACAACACTTAATTCTCTTATTCTCATTTTATAACATTTATCAGAACTGGCAGTAAAGACATTTACAATGCTGTCAAAGATTTCTATTTCAAATAAATGCTGTTCTTTTGAACTTTCCTGACAATTATATATATATATATATATATATATATCAGTTTTCAGACAAATATTTAGGAGCTCAACTGTTTTCAGCATTGATAAAAAGAGCATGCTTTCTGAGCACCAAATCAGCATATTAGAATTATTTCTGAAGGATCATGTGACACTGAAGACTGGAGTAATGATGCTGACAATTCAGATCTGCCATCAGAGGAATAAATTACAATTCAAAATATATTTGAAAAGTTAGTTAGTTATTTTAAATTGTAATAATATTTCACATGACTGTTCTCTTTCATAGGTTCACTCAACGCTGCGGAAAGCGCAGTGGGATATCCTCTGGATGTGCCGATTGCCTGAAGCCCTATAGAATCACGCCAATTCATTGGCTGATGGCGCTCGCGCAAAGCTGGCTCCGCCCCGACGCTCTTACGTCGTAGCATGATGTACGCGCGCGCGCCATCTTCTCCTCAGATTTCTCTGCCTTCACGAAGCGGTCACATCTCGCCCTTCGTTCGGTTTTTCTGAGCCCGAATTCTTCAAATTCAACTTCAGCTTTCGTCTCGACACTTCAGCGACTGGTATAAGTGGAACTCTGTTCTCCTTACAGTGAAGTGTCATGGATTATCGACGCTGCTCTCCGCCATGCGTTCGTTTTATCTCGAACGACGACCCTCACAGTAAGTGTGTTAAATGTATGGGGTTTTCGCATGCGCGTGAGGCTGTATTAGGATTGTCGAAATGTAAATTTTGTGACAATCTCCTTCTCAAAACCCTCCGCTCTAGACTCGCGGTTTTTGAGAAGGAGTCATTCGTTCCCCCCCGTCGCGCTCCCGAGACTGCTGAGGCCTCTCGTGGATCCGCGGCCTGGGGCTCGGATGTTGAGCTCGAGGATATTGAGTATGAGCAGACGGGCCTCGCCCTTTCTCTCCCTCCCTCTCCCGAGCACGCACGCGGCGCGGTTGAATTCGCGCATGATTATTTATGCCCCAGCCCGGGAGCCCGCGAATCGGTTTCTTTCGGTCTGGATGACGTGATTTACACTGCAGCCTCCGACTCCGAGGATTTCGGGCCTGCTTTGGCTGATGACGTTATCCCGCCTAGCGGCCAGGACGCGCGGCCTACACTGAGCTTATTGACGTGCTGTCGCGCGCTACAGAGAAGCTCTCTATTGACTGGCCTGATGAGCCCCGCGAGTCTCAATTGTCCAAACTCGACGAGAGGTTCCTACGTGGCCCTAATTCTAGGCCAGAGCGAAGAAAGCTGCCCTTTTTCAGCGATCTGCATCACGAGATCTCCAGATCCTGGAACCAGCCTTTCTCCGCACGCCTAACTAATGCGGCAGCCGCTGACTTCACCAACCTTGTGGGTTTTGTGGAGCAGGGTTATTCCGCTATTCCAGCGGTCGAGGACACGCTGGCTAACCACCTCGCCCCGTCGTCTGCACCGTCCTGGAAGGCGCGTCCCCTTCTTCCTTCCAAGGCTTGTAGGACTACTTCCTCCCTTATTGGGAAGTCTTACATGGCGGCTGGTCAAGCAGGCATGGCCCTGCATACCATGGCCATCCTTCAAGCCTACCAAGCGGACGTCTTGAAGGACATGGATGAAGGAGAGGGACTGACGCCCGAAGCTGTCAAAGAGCTTCGCAAAGCCACAGATCTGGCCCTAAGAGCCACCAAACACACTGCTCGGGCTGTTGGTCGCTCTATGGCGGGCTCGGTTGCTGCAGAGCGCCACCTCATGTTGAATCTCACGGAGATCCGAGACAAGGATAAGAGTTTCCTCCTGGATGCCCCTATCTCCCTCTCAGGTCTTTTCGGGGAGGCGGTCAACACGGTGGTTGAGAAGTTCCGCGCCGCTAAGTCTCAGTCGGCCGCGTTCAGGCAGTTTATGCCCAGGAGGGTCAGAGGGCCAAGAGACTCCAACCCTTCCCCTTCTCAAACCCGAGAACGCTCTGCTCATAGGGCTGAATTCCCTACTAGCAGGAGTGACCCGGCTCACCACCCTCCAACTACGGTCTGGGGAGCCCGAGGTCGTCCATTTCCCCGCCAGCGCCCTCACAAGCGCCTTCAGCTGAAGCGGTCCAACAAATCGGCCGCTCCAGCCTCCTCGAGCCGTTCCTGACCCGCAGGTCAGAAGGAGGAGAGCCTCACCAGATCTACGAGGTTGGGACAGACCGCGCAAGCGTTTCTGCCCTCCTCCACTCGGCTCTCCTCATCCAACCTTGTCACCTTCGCCACCCAGCGTGTTTCGAAGTGCAGGTCCTGTTTCACTCTCTTCACCCAGTCCGGCGCAGGAGGAAGGAGACGCGTCTTGCTTTCTCCCCTCGCTCCCGGTGCACGTTACACCCGCCAATCGCTTCCTCGGAGGCACAGTTCGTTTTCCTCTGGAGCAGGCGGACCCAGTTACTTCTATCCAGGCGGTGGTACCCCCCAGTACGTGTCAGGACGCCAAGCGCTCTCCTCCACGGTCATCCACGCCTCCCCATGGGAACCAGCGCGACACCCTACCTCAGGTATGTCCCTTGCACTGCAACACTCCTCTCCCTCTATCACATTTCGTTCAAGAATGGGAGCGTTTACCAGGGGTATCGCCTTGGATCCTTCGCACAGTTCGGCTCGGCTACACGCTTCAGTTTTGTCGCAACCCCCCCTGCTTCAACGGGGTCTTTCCTACTGTAGTCGACAGCGCCGCTCAGGCTTCTGTACTACAGCAGGAGATTTCACCCCTTCTGCTGAAGGGGGCGATAGAAGAGATTCCTTCGGGGGAAGTCGAACAGGGCTTCTACAGCCGTTACTTCCTGGTCCCGAAGAAGGGGGGCGGCCTGCGGCCGATACTAGATCTTCGCCGGTTGAATTTCTCTCTTTACAAGGGAAAATTCAAAATGTTGACGCTGAAGGCCATCATATCTCATATCCGGCTGGGGGACTGGTTCGTGACGGTAGACCTCAAGGATGCTTATTTCCACATCCAGGTCGTACGGCGACACAGGAAGTTCCTCAGGTTCGCCTTTGGAGAAAAAGCGTACCAGTACAGGGTCCTCCCCTTTGGCCTCGCTCTAGCGCCAAGGACGTTCACAAAGTGTATGGATGCTGCTCTGGCCCCGCTGCGGCTCCAGGGCATCCATATACTCAACTACCTGGACGATTGGCTCCTTTTAGCCCACTCCAGAGAGTTG